ATAGTCATATCATCTGCAAACAATTACAATTTTTTTCTTTCATTTCAATCATCATACTTTATTTATTCTTTTATTTTGTCTGATTGCATTGGCTAGTCTCCAGCACTATGTTGAATAGAAGCAGGAATAATGAGCATTTTGGGGATTTTGCTGACTTTAAAACAATGCTTCTAAAACTTAACCTTTATTTATTACTGGGCTGCTGGCCGAGTTAGCTATCCATTTCATATTCAAGACATTTTCTTCCTGTCTTAGTCTGGTACTTTAAGAAAAGTCATGGACATGTACTGAATTGTGTAAAATGCCATGTCTGCTTCATTTGATTGCTAAAACTGTCTACCTCTTCCAGGTGTGCTGAAAAATAATTTATGTTCTTAATAGTTGCTTGTAAGGCTTTATGTCTCAAACGAGAATTACACTGTTCAACTTTCCTATATCCTTATAAATTTCTCTCAGCTTGATCTGCCAGTTTCTGTTAGCAGCATGTCACAACTTCCCACTCCTCCTTGCAATTCTGTCCGCTTTTGCTCCATAGAGTCTGGGATATTTTTCTGAGCTTAGAATTTCTCCACTCTGGCTTAAATGCTTTTATTTTTGACATTAAGGAATTCCCTTTCTTTCTTTCAAAGTAGGCTACTAAATCGCTTTAACTTTATCGAACATATCTGTGTCCAGCTGGTTAAGGAGTTTTTACTAGCTTCTTGTTTCATTAGCCAGAATTGAAAATTCCAGACTTGCTCTTTTTAAATCTTATAACCTGTGTCCACAGACACCTGTACCAGGCAGGTCCACTTGTCACATCCTAGAAAAAAGATCACAGCCCCTTCCTAAGCTTCATATAGCCTCAGCAATCCAGGAAGTGCCAAGGACCCACTTCTGTGCCCTTGGACATGCTTCCTGGTCCACCTGGGAGTGATGCTTCCAGTCAGGGTCAGTGTGATCTCAGGTTTGTCAGGCCAGGAAGAAATTCAGGGTGGAATTTTCTGGGCATTGATAGAGAAGTGCCCTGACAGAGGTAAGGCAGGCCTGACCTGGGTGTGGTGGGTTCGGTGGGTTCCTTGACTTCCCCTTTAGTTGGATTATCACTAATCTCTTCCCCACCTATGGGTCAGTTCTTTCCAAACCTCTGAGCCTGTCCTAATGATACAGTGAGCTTACACCCATCCATCCATCCACCCACCCATCCATGCATATGCCCATCCATCCACCCATCTGGCAGCAATATTACACACACACTACAGTCTCTGTGACCTTGCACAAGTTCAACTTCAGTCATTCACCCATAAAATGGCCATAATAATAACTTTGCCCTCATAAGACTGTTATGAGTATGAAAAGATATTTATGAAGTAATGATACTACTAAGTATTCTAGTAATATTAGCTATTATAGTCATCCCACACTCACGGATTCATCCAACGAATATCCTGAGCACAGACTATGTGCTAAGTACCAGAGGTACACAGTCTTGTCTGGTGGATCAGGTTAACCCCATAGAAGGACATCAGTGACATGGTCACAGCACAACGTGCCCTGTGTGCTCACTGTGTTGGGGAAAAAAAAATGCTCCGAGAGCACAAAGATAGCCCACACAACTCAGACAAGAGGAGCCAGGAGTCAGGGAAGGCGTCCTGGAAGGAGAGACACCAAAGCTGGGTGTGTCCTGAAGAATCAGCAGGAGTTCAAAGAGGAATGCAGTTTGTTCCCAGTTGAAAGGGAAGCGCATTGAAAACTTAACATTATAGAACATTCTTTTCTGGGCACTGGAGATGTGTTTGCCAAGCAGGTGAAGTTAAACAGGAAAGGAGGTGAGAGGTAACCCTAGAGATGTAGGGCTTAGGCCAGGGGATTGCTTCAGGAGTTAAGACACTTATCTGCACAGGACCAATGAGCAGGCACGTGACGAGGTCAGAGTACAGTGCATGGAGGTGCCTGTGTGCTGCAGTGGGGAACGCTGACAAGGGACTGACCCTGTCCAGTGATCTGGTGCAGATTCCCCAGGACTTCACATGCCAATTGTGTTGGATGGATGGATGGATAGATGGATGGATGGATGGATGCACAGATGGATGCACGCATGGTTGAATATGTCCATGGGTTACATATAGGGACAAATAGATGAATGAGTAGGTAGTGATGGAAGGATGAATGGATGGCTGGCTGGGCAGGTGCGTGGGTGGACAAATGAATGGATGGGTGGGTGAGGGGTAAATGAATGAATGGATGGATGGATAGTTGGAAGCATGGGCAAGATGGGGGGGCTGAGTTCTAGGATGTTCTCGGGCAGGAAGATGGTTTTCATGGCCATTGCAGGCTATTCCCTTCCAGGTGGAATTTTCTGACCAGTCTTGGTGAAGGGACAGGAGGATCATCCCCTGGAGACTGCTCCTGTAACATTACTTTGTCCTGCATACTAAGCAGCAACTCCGAGCTTCCTGTCCTCCCTCACTGAAAGGCTGCCAAGGGTCATAGGGGGGAGGAATGGTATCTCAGTTCAGGCTGTATGACTCAAGCCACTTGCCCTTTGGGGCCTTAATTGTCCCATTTATAAAACCAGGAGCTGGATATAGATGTCCCTTCAAATACAAAAGACCCAATTTTGCTGCAGCATTTAAAGTGTCTCATGAGTACTGGAATAGTGTACATTTTATCTTCACCAAAGACATCAAAGGATATCTAACCATGCAAGTTAAAAAAGGTAATCAGGTTTGTTTGCTCTATTTCATATTAAAAATAATGTTCATGTAACTATGTACCAGAGACATTTTATGGGGGTGGAGTAAGAAATGGGATCAAAAACAGTGGGGAGGGGGAAGTGCACTGGTCTTTGGTGATTTGGTGATGGGAAGCCCACGGGGATCACAACTGAGATGGAAAAAGGCACAAAATGATGTAAAAATAAACTATTATATTATTTTTAAGAATGAGAAGAAAAAAAAATGTTCATGGTCAAACACTATCACAAAGAACTATGCACTTCATCATCAGCCATGCATTTCCATGGCTAGTTCCTCCCATTTAGCAGCCTTGCTAAGGACCCTTCCAGAGGCGGCATCCAGAGATCTGTACCTTCCACAGGCCCCACAGGCACTGCCTGTGCTGGGGTCACCAGGGGCAGGGGAGTCACAGGGGTGCTGTCATGCTGTCAGCTGTTGCCAGTGATGACCTGCACGCTGGTTTGTAATCCATGCCACTGCCATGCTGGAACCCGGCTTCTGACAACCATGCCCGCTGTCTAAACACATCTGCTTCACGCAGAGGTTACACAACGAAGCCAATGGGCCCAAGTCAGTTCACCTTGCCATGGCTTCCGGCAGAGGATGGAAGGCCTGTCCTGAGAACAGGAGTGCCATGGGTCAGCAGCCCTGCCCTGGGCTGACACCAGCCGTGTGCTGGCCTCCAGGGAAATTAGTCAGGCTGTGTAGGTAAACCGCCACTATGACTGGGTATGAGCTTGGATTTTTGCACAGTAGGACAATCATAGAGTAGGGGGCAGGGGGACCTGGGGGGATTAAGGATGTGGTTATCGTTTACCATGAGTGGACCCCTTACCTTAAATTAGAGCCTCCCCAGCTTCCAGGTGCAGAGAATTCCTCTTCTGATGACTTGAATGCAGTATGGGCTTCACTTGAATGCAGTTATCGGCTTGGGTAGGCTGGGGCTGAGCTCACGGAAAGCCTGAGGAGGGGCGGAGGGCGAGGAAAGCAGAGGCCCGGGCAAGTGCAGCTAAGTCAGTGTGGCGGCCAGAACTTGGCTAAGGACACTGGCAGTGAGTGCAAGCTGGAGTCCAGATGTTAAACCGCTGGAGCTGAACGATGGGTAACAGGCCAAAGGGCAGGCTGTGAGATGCCCCTCCCAAACCTCAAACTGGGTCACACCACCCACCCCACCTGTGACTGCCAGGAAGTCAGTAGAGCTGTTTCGCAGCAAGGCAGTGGCAAATTCACAGACGGACATTTTCCCCTTTCCCTCCCTAAGTCTGCATTCCCCTTGTCTAGGTAGCCAAGGCGACTTCCAGCTCACAGACTGTCCTGGGCAGACCTGCCATCGGCCTTCCCAGCTCTCTGCTGCCAGGTGTAGACCTTTACAATCTAGAAATGTGTCGTCCGAAGGTTGCTATTTTAAGGCCACACAACTGACCCAAAAGGTAAACTGCGGAGTCTCATGCTGCCGGCTAGGCTTGCCTTCCATGAAGCCTTCCTCCATGAAGCCTGGGAGCTGAGCATCCCACGTGCAGCCTGGCTGTCTTTCTAGGCGTAGCACACAGGCTGTGCTTTACTCCGACCATCATTCCTTATAAACGATGTCAAATTCCCTTTCTTGTGTGAAATGGGTTTGTACTGATTGATCGTGACTGACAAAATAAGGAGCTGGAAACCATGTTATTGCCGTTTTAGGGGTGCCTGAAACCCACCCAAGTCCAGCCCTGCCTCCCTGGAGTGCTGCATTCTGTCCCAGCCCTTTTGCAAAAACCCTTGCTCCCTAAAGTTTCAAAACCTAAGCTCCATGCCCTGGGGACTGAGGGTCTTCCCCTAACATCGAAATTAAGCTTAAAAATAAATAAAGACACAGGTTTTTCAGGATCCAGACGTTCAGACATTGCAGCTTCACAAGTTTGTCCCATTATTTTTTTTCCCCCAAATCCTGGCACTGGCAGCTGTGCTAGATTCTGGTGCTCACCTGTTGCCCACCACTCAGGAGAGGCCACTGCCTGGGTCCCTTGAACAACCTCAGGTGGGTGTTCAGACCCGGGAGTACGTGAACCCAGGGATCCCCCCAACTGCCCTGCAGGATCGGACTCTGGGGGTCAGGGTGGGGGCAGCATGGTGTCTTGAAATGAGAACTCAAGCTGAGGGGAGACGGGAGACTGCCGGGGAAAGAAACAAGGTGGCAAAGGGTTCTGGCTGACTGCTAAGGGCTGGGCTGGGGCAAGTGAGGCAATTAAAACACAACAAACCAACCTTTAAATAGTAACTTTTAAAAATATAAAAACAGCTCATTACAATGACTTTTCATTTTTTTTTTTTCTTCAGGAATCAGTTTTCTTCTACCCTTGCCCTCCCTTGTGGCTAAAGCCTTAACGCAAGGTGGCAGATGACCATCAGAGATCCGGAGGGGGGAAGGGAAAGGGAGGGAGAGAGTGAGGGGGAGACTCCAAACACCCCGCCCCCCACCTCAGAAAGGTTCAGGGCACCTTGGCTCTCACTCACATCAAGGGGACCTGCTTACTGGGGAGCAAGATCATTTAAACTGGGCAGTTTTCACGGGACGCCCCCTTCCTTCTCTCAGACAGAATCACACGTTATAAAATAATCCATAAAAATGCAGTATAAAAATTATCTTCCATATGCTACATCCACAGAGAGCCCACCACCAGGACTCACAACGGCCTTTAGCTTTTCCTTAAAGGAAGAAAAAAAATAAAAGACCAAAAGAAAACAACCCAAATCTTAATACCTCAGAACACTTGGGTGCCGAAAAGTGGCACGCACAGGCGACGACAGCCTACCATAACCTGTTGGGTTCCTAACCCCAAAGGCTTTAAGAGGTCACCAGAGTGTCGGGTCGGGCCCTGTCCCCTAAGCCCTGCGAGCTCGCAGGTTAAGTATACACCACCCCCTTCTAGGGAAGAGAGTAAGGGGTCATCGCAGCAAAGAGGAGAAGGCATTTATTTTATAAAAAGACATCACTTCTAATTCTTTTTATTCAAATAAAAAAAAAAAAGCACCCACATCAGTTTCTATTTTTCTCTGTAGCTCCCTGAGCTGAGTTGCTATGCTTTTCCTCTAACTTTTTATCCTTTTTATAGGCTGTGTCCAAGATTTAAGAAGGGAAGGAGAGGGAGTCGCCTTGAACGTCCACTGCTCGTCAGGATAACCACGTGTGCACCAAAGATAGGCCCAGGCGGAGGGACGGAGTGAGAGCGAACACAGCAAACACCTGAGAGAGGGCGAGGAGGGGTGGAAGGCGGACAAGGCGCACAGAGAGCCTGTGCTTCTGTTCACAGCAGCCCCACTGGCCCATCCCAAGTACTGTCTGTCCATCGTCTGTCTGGCGTATAACCTGACATGTCTGGACAAGTCCCAAGTCCGCAGAGGCTGGTTCCCGGGGCATCTGATGGTCCATCTGGAGGCCACCTGCATTTCTTCCTCAACCCCGAGATTTTCCTCCCCTCGTACCCCCTCTCCGTTTGTCTGTCCCTCCCTGTACTTCCCTTCCCCAGATGGGAACCTGTTTCATAAAAACAAAACAAAAGACCACCACCACGAGTGGATTACAAATACAGCAGGCGAAATACACAGCTAGCGTGTCTGGTGGGAAGTGGGGGGCCTCCCCCACTGACCAGTCCAAGATAGGAGTCTGTTATTTACACTTTTCACAAATCTTGTGCGCTGCACAACTGGGAAAATGAGATCCCTCCCTCCCCCAGCACAAAAAAAAAAAACAAAAAAAACACAAAGAAACTGTGGTCCACTCCAGTGTCCCCGACCCAGGGGAAGGATACAGGTCAGAAGAAAGGAGAGGGAGAGGAGAGAGTCACGAAGGGGTCTAGGGAACTGGAGCCAGGAGCCTCCAAATAAATCTATTTGTAACATCTGCCAGGATTGTTACGGGGAGGCGGAGAAGAGAAGCCCGCCGAGTCTGCGAAACACATCAATCCATGCCCAGGAGTCGGGACCGTGACGGGGCACGCGCCCTCACAGCCAGCCGAGCTCAGCCTGGACGCTGGGCTGCTCGCCGCCCGCCCTCCGCCGTCCTCGGGGCCCCCTAACGGGGGTCTCCCTGTCACAGCCGAGTCTGTTTCTCCCAGAGTCTGACAGCCCTGTTAGAGTCCTTGTTTAGTAGATGACCTCATAAACCGTGGCCTTCTTGTCACCAGAGCCTGTTACAATATATTTGTCATCCGCCGAAATGTCACAACTCAAGACAGATGAGGATTCCTTAGACTGGAGAAGGAAGGGGGGGTGGGGGGAGGGACAGGAATTTAGTTTCTCAGAACTCAACACCATTTCCCGGTTCCCACCCCGAGCCCGCACAGCAGAGATGAGGTCACCAGTGTTTAAAGGGCCCCCGACAAGCACTCTCCTCTCCCAGGTAGAACACAACCTGCTTTGCAACAAAGCAGCTCACCACAGGGGCTGATGTGATCCTTAACACAGACACCTTAGCGTGGCCTCTCTGCTGAGTTTACAAGAGGGAAGAAGCCTTTCTGAGCTGAGGTATCCAGCAGGCCTGACCCTCAGCCTGGTGGGCTAAGGCGAGGCTTTGCACCAGAGCCTTGAAGCATCAGGTATAGCCAGACGACATTATGTGGTCACACCCGGGACAAGTTCCAGTGTGAATTCACGAGCTGGCTGGCTATGAGCGTGCGTGCGATTGTGTGTGTGTGTGTGTGTGTGTGTGTGTGTGTGTGTGAGAGAGAGAGAGAGAGAGTGAGTGCTGCACATTGAGCAGAAACTATGAACGTCTCTTCCCTCCCTTCCATCTTTCTCTCCCTGCCCACCACCCTCCTAACATAGAAGTGTTAAGATGTAGCGCTGCTCTGAAAAAATGCTGTCTGCTTTACTCAACGGCCAGCGTGCAAAGCCCGTGAGCACTCAGGGTACAGGCCAACACCAAGCACTGTGTGGTCCGTGTTAAAAACCCTACAAGAGGTTTTGGCCTGCAGATGCGGAGGGCATGAGAGGTAGAACACAACATGTGCCTGCTGCCTGCTGCCCAGGCCCTCATCTCTGGAACTCAGTCTTGGACCCGCATCAGGTAGGGGCTGGTAGAGGCCAGGGCAGGCCTCTGACCTGCCTCCCACTGCCCGCCCCCTCCCCACCACTGGGAAGAATTGGACACGGGTGTGGCAGGTTTTACCTGGAATATGCTGGCTCCATACGGGGTCCTCCAGGCGTTGAGAAGGTTATCTTTCCCAGTGCTCACAAACCACTTGCCTGTGGGCGGGAGGCATGGGAAGGGTCAAGCTGTGGCCGTTGCCTCCCTAGCCAGCCCTCCTATTCTGGGCATGGTCATGCAGCGAGAAGTGCTAAGCAGTGCTCTGTGCCACTCTCACTTGTGAGAGGCATGTTGTAACCAAGACATGAGACACATGGAGGCAGCAAGAATGCCTGACTCTGCGCTTAAGGGGGATGGGGGGGTGGGAAAGAAGCGGTAGGTACCATTTGTAGGTAACCGCAGCTAGGCTTCCCCCAGAGATTCTTCTTAAAGCTACTGAAGTGAACTGATCCTTCTAAATTCTACTAACGAGCAGCATGCGTAGGGAGGGAGCAAGCCTGAGGGGCAGGAGACCTGGCTCCAGCACTGCCTGGAACACGAGCGGGATGACGTACCTATGTTCCCTATGAGCCACATGGCAGTGCTGCTCCCCCATTCTCAGTCCTCGGGAAAAGACCATGGGGTCCAGAGAACAAGGAGTTCACTGCCACATGGCTCATGGGTGGAGGGCAGGTATTCCCAGCAGGGGTACCAGACCCTAATGTCCATGTTAAACCACCCAGACGACCTCCCTGTGGAGTCGTGAAAACCATTTCTCTACCCCTGCCCTAGGCTGGCCAAGGCTGGCCTGGTGTCCGGGGAGCCTGGTGCCCTGCGGCAGCATCTGCATCTAAGGGACAAAAGCAGGGGAACGAGCCTCGAAAGGATTCACGTCAGGGACAGGAGGCCTGGACCCAAGACCCATTCTGCAAGCTTTGTGCTCCTCATCTGGACACGTGTGGGCCAGCCGGGCACCTCAGGAGCTCCCACACCCCCCACCAGGCCTGGGTCCCCCGGCTCACCACAGTAGGCGAACTTGAGGGAGAGGACACAGCTCTCGTGCAGGTGTAGCTGGTACTTGTCGGGCTTGGTATGATGTAGCACCTCCACATTGCTGCTCTCCATGCCCACGGCCAGCCACTCCCCAGTGGGGCAGTAACCCAGAGAGAAGATCTGCAGCGGGGAGAATATCTGAGTCTGCCATTTGCAGAGTTTGGGAGGAGGCCACGCTCCCCCTGAGGCCTCGGGGTCCCACTCTTCTCCCTCCAATATCACTGCCACTCCTGCTATCTGCATTAGAAGCTCCTCTCTCCCTCCGTCCACCCCAGGGGCAGGTGCCAATTTCCACCCTCATTTTATAGGTGAGGAACTGCAGGTTCAACAGGTGCTGACTCTAGCGGTAGAGTCGGGACTCCACTCTGGAGATGGCCATGTGATTTCAACTTTCAAAGTCACTGTCTCTGTGACTTTTGGCTTTCCTTAAGAAAACGAAAGTAAGTGAACTGCTAAAATATTAAGTATTTGAGATTAAGATATGAATGTGAAGAATAAAAATAACAAGAAATGATCATGGGTGGCTCCTATGAGCCAGGTTGATGGTGGAGCTACGGAGGAGCTGTCTCTGGTGCTCACAAATATCTGCTACTGTTCCCAGCCTAAGAATAAGGGAAGTGAAACACTACTCAGCAACCCAAAATGGTAAATTCATGTCATTCGCAGCAACATGGATGGAGCTGGAAGGGGTTATGCTCGTGAAATAAGTCAGAAGGAGAAAGAAAAAAACAGTGCATGGTTTCACTTAAGAGGAAGACTACAGGGAACTAAATATGGAATCAGGAAAAATACAGTTACAAAAACAAAAGTTACCAGACAACTCTGAACCAGAGACATTCTGCAGGGGAGGGAGAGGGAGAAGGAGCGAAAAGGGGAGGGAAGAGCACATGGACTGTGGTGAGGGAGCCCGGGGAGCTGGTTGTGGAAATTCTATGGGTCCTACACCCGAGAGGAGAAAGCAAGCACTGTACAAACAGGAACGAGGATATAAAATATATTTAAAAGAGGTATTTTTTTTTTTTTAAATTCCAATAGCAAGTTCCAGTAAAAGGATGGGAGGGGAGAGAAGATGGGAGGGAAGGAGGGAGGGAGGAGAAAGAATAAGGAAACCGAGGCCAAGATGCTTGACAGTAGGGAAGCTGGAAACGGAACTCCAAGGTGTTGTGGACTCCTCTGTTGCTACATCATCCAGAAAGCCTTCCCAGAGAGCTCAGGGGGGCCCCACATCCATTTGCAATGATGGTCTCTGCCCCTACCCTGGTCACTGGGGCCCGGGAGGAGAAAATGCCACTGGGGAGCGGGGAGGGGGGGGGCTGGGTTGGGGCCACACACCTGAGAAGTGAAGTCGTGCTGCTGCAGCTGCCGACCCTCTCGCAGGTCCCAGGAGCGCACGGTGTTGTCCAGACCCCCCGTCCACAGCTTGGTACCGTCATGGGAAATGTCTATACAGCTGGCCCCGTCTGTGTGGCCCTGAAACTGCCTATGAAGGCCGAGCAAGGAACAGGATTAGCCCCAGGACACCTGGCAGTGGCGCCTGAGGGTAGGCCAGCTCTGCCTCTGAGCAGAAGAGGAAACTGAGGCCAGCAGAGGTCACCCCATGTGTCATGGTCCCTTAGAGAACCTGCAACGGAGCTAAGCCTGGGCCAGGTTATGTGTGTGTGGCGGGGGGCGGGGACAGAGGGAGGTAATGGAGAGATTCTACCAGTCTAAACTCAGTGTCTTCGAAGTTTCCATCCTTAATCCATCCCCCCCACCCTGCAGGGACTGAAGCCATGGCAAAGCCCAAGCAGAACACAACTCTCAAGATGATGGCGAAATTATACATTAAAAGCCAACTGGTGAGACACTGCACTGTGGCCTGATTCCAAGGAACAGTTTCACTCTGGAGGAACAGGGATTAAGTGACCTGTGGAAGGTCACAAATAGGCAACAGTGAAACCCAGCAGCTTGGCTGCCAAGGTCTCCACGCTGACCACCAGTGCCACAGTGGCTCAGAGGTTGTGTCTGCAAAGCCATCTATTTCTGGGTTCTCCCACCCTTCGGCTGCCCACCTGAACTCCACCTTCCCAGACCTGCCAGAGGCTGACCTCTCCCTGGGGTCTTCTGCCAGCTCCTGCAACAAGCAGACCTCTACCCTCTGCCCACACCAGCCCTGGCGCACAGCTGCCCACTTACACAAGGCAGGCCAGGCCAAGCTGTTTTGACCTGGGTGTCCCCTGTCCACACTGTTCTGACCCCCAACAGTCCCTGGGACAAGCAGTCTGGGCAGCAAGGCCACACACGACCTGTGCAGACATCTGAAGGACAAGCCCCGCCCACCAGCCAGCAGCCTCACCTGACCAGGGTCTGGTTGTGCAGATCCCACACAGCGATATTCCCGTCGCTGCAGCACGAGAAGCAGACTTTGGCGTCGGGGCTGATGGCCAGAGCGTAGCAGGCGGGGGCCGAGGACGTCAGCTCGGCCTTGATGCGGGGTGTGGGAGAGGCCAGGTCCCAGATGGTGAGTGTGCTGGCTTCGCCGCCCACAATGAGTGTGCGCCCGTCAGGGAGCAGCTTACAGGAGCGGATATAGTTGTCCCTGTTCTGGAAGGAGAAGGGGCCGTGCTGAGTGCTGCCTAACCTTTCCTCCTGGAGGGCAGAGTCCCGTCCGGCAGCACCGCATGCCCTCAGCACCCCTGCAGGCAGCCTGCCCTCCCCGTGACACGTCCCCTTCACGGCTCTTCAGTCTTCTTCAGCAGCCCCAGGAGGCTGGTATCTTCCCTCCTCAGGTGACAAAGTGAGGATTCCGTGAAGTGAGCCTGCTCACTCAAAGTCACCCGGCCCATGCAGGGAAGAGGAAGTAGGCCAGGTGGGACAAGGTGCCTCCCTGCTCTGCCTGCCAGTTAGAGGAGATGCCCCAGCCCCGGGGTCCTCACCAAGCAGTCCAACTGGGAGATGGGGCTCTTGCTGCCCGGCTGGCTGATGTCCCAGATCTTCACACAGCCCTTGCCGCCTGTGTAGACGTGCCGCGTGGGGTTGCTGATGGTCACGGCACACACCACCTCCCCGTGGCTGAGCGTGTTGATCTGTCGGGCATGCCTCGGGATGCCGGGGCCTGCCAGGGCGTCGTGGGGAAAGGGCACTGGCTGCATCTGCCCGTCGGCACTCACGTGGAAAGAGTACGCACTGCGAGGGCGAGAAGGTGAGTCACTCTGCCATCTTCTCCCACTTGGGTCTTCTCTCAGGCTCCAGAGGCCCAGCCCAGTCCAACTGGGACCTCCCTCAACCTTCCTGCCTCCCCTTCCTGCCTCGGGGGTCCCTCTCCTCAAGTCTTTGGGAACCAGTCAGCGCCCTCTGGCTTGGCTTGGCTCTACCAGGTAGGGCCTGCTTAGCATCTACCTAGATTTCTGACCCCAGGCTCCCTAGCTACAAGCCAGTCACTAGCCCTGCACATGGCTTGAAATGCCCTTTCCCACCAGCTCCAAAACCCCTCAGGGCCATTAGGGAGGAAAATCTGCTCCCCAACACACTCACCCAGGTGAGTGTTTGCCAGCCACGTTAGGCTCCCATGGGTGCCAGCTGGGGGCAATCCCCAAAGGAGTGCCCAAGTTCAGGGCAGCCCACGTCATTTGGTTATTAGGAAGCCCTAGTGATGTTAGTGCTTCTCTCCGGAACCCAGGAAACAGCCCCTCAACCTCCACTTGGGTCCCCACTAGAAGGAGCTCCTGGTGCCAGGCCGTGTTTCCAGTGCTTATATGAATTCCTCTGAAGGGGAAGACGCCCTCCCTCTGGGGAGCTTTGGCAGGTCAGGGGCTAGGGTTAGGGGGTGAGGGGCCCTCCCCTGCCCTTCCAAGAAGCAAACAGGAAATATAACCGAAGCTTACGGCTTTCCACCAGGAATGGAGGCAAGGCTTGACGGCAGGCCCGTGGCCCGCATTGGGGGGTGAGGGTCAAAGCCAACCTGGAAGGCAAAGACAGGCGAGCCTTAGTGATGGATGCCACGCTCATCCCCCTCCACAGCTCCTCCTCCACCAGTCCCGGGCCTTATATACACATTGCTGCCTGCTCAGAACCCATCAAGCAGATGGGAGCAAGGAAAACCAGGAGGGCCAAATGCCTTGCCAACGAAGTGGCAGGAATGAAGACGTCCAGGACCCTAGCTCTGAACCGGCATCCTCAACTCCCCCACTCCTCCCTGCCTTCCCCTTTTCTCTCCCTGGTACTGCAGCGGGCCTTTCGCATGCACAGGAGGCCACATAGGGACAGGCGGTACTGAAGCTGAGGGAATTCTCTGGAAAACGACCTCTCTTCCCTGCAAGCCAAACTCAAACTGTTCATCAACAGAAGACAACCAGCACAGCTGCCAGCTTCTATTGCATGGAGGTCCCTGGGCTCCAAAGAACCCAGGGATCAGCCCCACTTCCTGATGGAAAGGGGGAGCCCAGGGAGAAGTCATTACAGAAGTCATGTGGCGACTAACGGGCAAGCAGAGATGGGCTCTGTGGCCACTGTCCCCTAAGTGAGTGGTCCCTTGTCGCTAATAAATGCCTTCCTCCCCCATGCCCCCCAAGGCAGCTGCCTAGGGCAGAGACCACAGGGTGCACAGGGAGTGCCTCCCCCACCCGCCCCCACTCCTTGTCAGCCCCCCCAAAAAGGAGCCAAAAGGTCTACGTACAGCTCCAAAGCTCACCATTGGCGATCGGCCGTAGGCGGCGGCGGCAGCGGCGGCGGCGGCACTCATCTGGGGCGGGATGTTGTGCAGGCTGGCGTAGGCGCTGGGGCTGGTGAGCGAGCCGTTCATCTCGTGGTGGCTCATCATGGCAAAGGGCGCCGGGTAGGAGCTGGTGATGGAGATGGGCGTGCGCAGGGCCGAGGCTATGAGGAGGCGGGTGTCAGCAGAGAGGCGGTGGGGTGGGGGCGGGGAACGGGCCTCACCCCTCCTTCTGGCACAGAAGCAGGCCGCCAGGCCGCATGCGCAGCCCAACAAGCCTCCCACTCGCAATCTGCCTGCTCCGGGCAGCCCTCTCAGGCTGAACCTACCTAAGCGGGATCCCTGTCTTCATAGCTCAAGGACGTTCCAGCTCAGAGACCGGACGTCTCTTTCTACAGAGCAGGACACAGAGGCCCAGAGAAGGGGGCTAATCGGCTTCAAAAAACTATCCCTGGACACAGGCCATGGTGTCCTATTCTTCTTGCATGCCTGACCCAGTATAAACCCTGCACTGGTTCTGTACCACCTAGCGCCCGAGCCCCATGCTATGACCCACCCATGGGACGTCTGCCCCAGCCTGGGCAGACCCTCTCCCTTCAAGCACGGCTGGCATAGTCCCATCATGCCTACCCATTATACCTATCGGGTCCATGCCTGGAGGTTTACCCGGCATTGACCGGAGCCCTGGGGTCGTGCTGGTGCCTGGAGTGGGGGCATCATTCCTTGGAGTTGGTGTGTTGGACTTGAGTCCGGGGGTAGAGGATTTGTCATTCTGAAAAAGGAAGATGCAGAGACCAAGGAAAGTCATTTAGACCCCTTTCTCCCAAGAGCGGCACTGGCAGCTGGCCACAGCACCGGTGCCAGTCGCCAGGTGCCACAGCCCTGGGGTTTGAGCCTTCTGCCCCAAAGCCCCCAAATCTTGCCCATCTTGTTTGGGATGGACTATGGCATTGTTCCCATTTTTAAAATGTAGCAACCAAAGCTTAGTAAAATGAACTCACTAGCACAGGACACAGCCAGTCAGTGTTTAAGACCCTAATCCATCTTCTTTCTAAGATCCCAATCCAGGTTCTTTTCCAGAACCTTCTCTCACCATCCCACCCTCTCTGGCCCTTTCCCAACTTCTGCGGCACCAGGGGCAGACCCCACATACATGACCAAGATCTTTGGTCTTGGAAGAAGGTGTGCTGCTTGAGGAGGCCACGGAGGCAGGGCTGGTGGGGGCGTCCTTTTTCAGGCCCCGGGTCTTGTCCAGCCCATTTTCAGGAGGGGAGTGTGCGGGGCTGACCCGGGGAGTTGCAGGGTCCTAAAAAGACACAGGGTACAGAGATGCACTTAACAGCACAATACCTGGAGTCTCCTGCTCTGGGTGGAAGGGAGTGGCACAGATGGCAGGACAGAGCACAGCTGAGAGATTTCGGGGACCAACCATCTAGCCTGTCCCCTTCATCCCACAGATGAGAGACTCAGGCTAGGGTAGAGGTGCCCTGTCAAAATTAAGTAAGTTCAGGACACCAATCTGGGCCTGGTGGAGATACCTAAGCTACTCTTCCCTGGTGAGGCTGATCCCCTGAGGTCCACAACCCCACATCAAGAACAGCAGGGTGGGATACAGAGCTTACGAGAGTACCACACAGAGTGGAAGCTGGCCTTCCCCTGGCAAGTTTGGGCCTCTCTCTCTGGAGACCCAGCTAGCAGCCCCTACGGGCCCAAATACCCAGACTCCTGACAGGCTAATGACCCAACACCAAAGGCCTCATCACCCAGCCAGGCTGCCAGCAATAAAGGCGTAGCCATTGCAACACAGTAACTCCCTCCCGCACCCCCGGCTTGCCCTCACCTCATTGGAAACGTCCACCACGAGGTCATCACTCTTGTCTCCATCACTGTCCTGCAACCCACACAGAAGCCAGTAAGAAGGGGTCATGCCTCCCTAACCCACATGGAGCCCAAATGCCCCCAATTCTGCCAGCCAGAAGCTGACCTGGGCCAAGCCCAAAGATCAGGTTCTTTACCCTATCCTACTGTTGGCCTCCCCACTCTCCAATGCTTCCTGGCCCAGCTCCCCAGATCCCGGCTCTGGGATCACTCTGATCCTGGGCCCACCAGCAGCCTCACACCTGTACCATTACACTTCTAAGCTCCACATCACTTGTCTCTCTGAAGCCAGACACTTTTCCAGCTAGGCTTTTATCAGCATCATTCACAAGTAAATGTCTCATGCTGTCATCTCAGTGACCATGGGCGATGGGGTCAGCCTCCTCTCTTGAAATCCAGATGAGACTTGAGATTGTACAATGTGACTGAGCCCCACACCGCTACCATGTTCATGCTGTCCAGTATGGGGTGCCAGGGACTATTGGGAGAGCTGTGATGGCATCTGAGGGCTGTTGACCTGTCTTGTGGGCACACGGCTGTCCTCAAGCCCCAAAGAGCTGGATATGCCCTTCCTGACCACCTACTCCCTCCAGGCTGTGGTCCATGTGTTCAGTGTAGGTACAAGCACCAAGGCCACCGCCTGTGTTTCCCTGACTCCCTCCCTGATCCCAAGAGGGTTTAGGGCCCCCTGGCTCACCCTCATCCCCAGCCTAGCCCAGCCACCCACACCATCAAACATACATATCGACTCAGGCTGTCCTTCTCCTCTGCTTTCCGCTTCTTGGCTTCCATGCTGTAGTCAGCTGAGCCCCGGTGCTTCTCACTGGCCCGGAGGCTTTCTGAAGGCGACACCGAGTTATTCTAGAAGCAAGAATGCAGAGGCATAACTAAGTGTGCCAAGGTGTCAGACAAAGTAGCCTGTGTCCTAACAGTCTCGGTCTCACTGGAGCCTTGCTCGGAAATCCTGCCCAACCCCCCTGACTCGGTCCTCCGGGGAGAAGCCAGGAGGGTATCACGATTCTCTTTCACAGCAATGCCAGCGCTGCTAAATATTAAATGTAGGGCCTCGTGCCTTCTGGGCTATGAGGCTTATGCTTCCTGAGGGCAAGGGGACAGCTGTCCTCACACCTAACTTGTGCCTGCCACACATCTTTGCTCAAAGAAGGGATAACTATCAGCATCTCATTCAATCTTGGCAAGCGGATCTGAGCTGACCAACTGGGCTCTGAGCAATACTTGTCCTGCTGAGCCCAATAATAAGGGGACACTGGGAGGGAAGAATGTTGGTCTGCCAACAAGCCTTCTACGTGTAGGTGGGCAACCTGGCATTTTGCGTGAACACTACAATTCAGCCATGTGGCCTTCAGCAGCTTTATAAGAGAAATAACACAAGTAATAAAGAAAAAAGGGTCACGGACTCTTTCCTTCCAAAAGATGGGGAAAGGCATACAGGCAGGTAGAACCATGGGATGATGGGAAAGTGGGGGTTCAGGAGCTAAGAAATGCCCAGCAGAAGGCAGCAAGCAGGAAACACACACTTTTCAGGGCTGGGGGAGCCTATTGAGTTCTCCGGTCAGCTATAAGGTGATGTGAGAATAGTGTGGCACGAGAGGCCTGGGAGAAGGGGCAACGGGCCTTACCCACACTGGGGCAGGACTCCCACAGAGCTGTCCCTAAGGTGAGAGCACCGCCCTCAGGTGGACTCCACGACCCTGGCGGCCCGGGACCAGGCTTGGTATGCAGGGAAGAAGGAGCTACAGGCAGGTGCCTACGGCAAAGCTCTGTGGCAAGAGGTGAGCAGAGCTCACATCCTTCTAGAAGACAGTTGAGGTGCCTGCAAGGAGCCCAGGCCACACAGTCAGTCCCTCACTCACCCACACGCCCATTCCTTCCCGGCACCTGCCCTCAATCAGGCTGGACGCTGGGGATGGAGGAACGGGCAAGGCACGGTTGCTGCCCGCCAGGGGCTTGTAGTCCAAGTGTTGGGATGCAGAGGCTAACTGAGCTGCAACACCGAGGTGATGAAGCCACAGGGGGGCACAGAGGGACGTCTGTTCAGACGGGAAAGAGCAAAAGGCGGGAGGCAGGAGCGTCATTCAGGTCTCACGCTTCCCCAGAGGTCAGTGCTGTCTCACAAGCACGGGGCACTTGAAGGGAACAGGGGTGGACAGTCAAAGGGAGGCAGCTGGGGGGAGCGGCGGGGGGAACTGGCCGCAGACCTTCATTTCCTTCCTAAGTCGGTTTCCCTTCCCTGCCAAGTTTCTGCCTGAAGCAAATTAAAATGGCAGAGTTATCAAGGCTTGAAGAAAAAAATGGAGGTTATAATGGAAGTGCAGCTCAACCTTCCCCGCAGCCGGGCAGGAGCTGCGGCGATGCGCACACGGCCGCAATTCAATTAGCTGCTGCAAGCGCCGGCAGAAAAATCACCGTCATTTCATTTCATTTCCTCTGATAGTGGCGGCCACCCCGTGCTAAGCAGCCCTGCTTCCAGCCCCCCTCAGTCCTGCTGGCTGGCCCTCTCCTCTGGGGGGGAATGGGCTGCCGGGCCCGGGGAGGGGGGAAAAGCTGCTGTGTTTCTCCTCACAAGCCAGTCTGCGCTCACAAACAGCTAGCTCTTTCTTCTCCCGCAGTCAGGCTGAAAACCCTCACTGCTACAGGAGAGTCATGTCAGACATTTAGCGGCATCGATCCAGCCCGCCTCTGGCTGGCAGGCGGCCAAAAAACTAAGTATTTTTTATTGCTTCAGCTAGGCAAGGAAATATGAATGAAGCTACCTCTAATTGGACTCCAGACTAACCCCTCTGGGACTGCTTCCAGCCGCCTGCCTCCCACCCCGACATGGCCCTGTCCTTCCTGCCTAGTCCTCAGCTGTTGACAACCTGGTTTCCAAAGGGCTGATGACTTCAGTCTACACCCCCTCGACCGCACCGCCACATGCACAAGGCTCGCCTGCCTCAGCCCGGAGCAGCCCACCCGGCCCAGCCAGGGACGGCGTCCCGACTCATTCCCATGAGACGCTCCCGTGACCCATGCACGCCCCCTCTGCTTTGTCTGACAGGCTCAGATGTCAGTGAGCATTGCAGAGTGAAGAGCTTGCTCCTGGGGGTTCCCCATGGGTTTCTTTCAGAAGAAAGCTTTCACAGACTGAGGCACAAAGCCAAAGGCCAAGACAAACAAGCATGGGGATAAGGACAGTGTATGTGGGGGTGTGGGGAGGTGGGGGTGGAGGGGAGAGGAAGGCAGGAGGGCTTGGTCTCAGATGCTTATTTGGCTCTGCAACCAGTCCTATTAACAAGGTATCTTCTGGATCCCAGGTCCTGTTGAGGGACCGGAACGAGGCCCAAGTTATGGATAAAGAAGTGAATTTTGAAGAAGCCAGTGTCTGGTGAAGCTGGGGTCAGATCTCAGCCTCTGAGAATCTGCCCAGTCGTCCTACCATCTGGGCAATACACCTCTCCCAAAATGCCACCATTAAAGGGTCGACACTAACGCGTTTAAAATGGCTTTTCAACTACTGCCTTTCTTATTTTAAATACCTAGCCATTCCCAGGCCCAAGTGAACCTGATCTCTGAGCACACCAGAGCAAACTTGCACGATACTGCTAATGGGAGGCCGAGCAGGAAAGGTGGGTCGGGTGGAGAAGTTGCCCGAGGAAGCTGTTGTCTAGATGGTTAGTTAACTGCCTGACCTCCCAAGTCCTGCTTAACACGAGGTAATAGCCAAAGCCATCCTAACAGATTAGATGGGCCCCACATACAAGGATTGTGATGAGGAATAAAATAGCTTTGCTAATCGCTGGAGGATTTTTTTTTTTTTAATCCAGACTCCACCATGCTTATTCAGAAGGCTTATTCACTTGAAACAGAACCTCTGAGCCTCAGTGTGATCAGAAAGATTTACACCAAATCTCAGCACTGGCAGACACGCAGGAAGCCTGGCCTTCATGCTTGCTTGCTAGCACATTCTAAACAGTTTAAAAGCACAGAACAGGGAGAAACCTTAGATGTATGGAGGAAATGAGGATACAGAACCACAGAGCAGGCAACCAACCTGGGCAGGGGAGCACTGTGGTCCAGGACAAGGGACCCTGGGTCCTAAGTCCTTGGTCAGTTTATCCACAAAGCTACCTGGAGGATCTGGGGCTGCCCACATGATCTTCCAGTTAATCGTTTCTCATGTAACAGCGAATCAGAACTCACGTAGCCCAAGCTCTTCATTTAAAAAATGATGCCCCTAAAGCATGGAGATGAAGGGCTTTTCCAAATGAAGGTCACTTTCAAAAAGCGACAGTAACTCCTATTTCACGACAAACCCCACTACCACCAAGAGTTCACAAGAACCTCTCCTCTTCTTCCCGGCACCCCAAATACACCCCAAGAGCTCCAAAACACTTACCGCACTGGATTCTCTCTCTTCAGAAACAGACGGTCAGGACAGAAGGAAGGTCAGGCCCCCGAGACAAAAAGACAAAAGAACAGAAAAGGTCAGTCTCACCATGCAGCTGGTGTTTACGCTTTGCTGGTTCACAGGTTTTAAAGGTGGCAGTAGACCTGGCTCTTGACATCACCGTGGGTCAGCCAAGGTTTGGACAACAGTGACATTTCTCAGTTGGGAAATTAACTGTCCCAATTCCAAGACTCGCTCTGGCCCCCAGACCCAGGTGGGGTGGGAAAGCCCAGGGCACAGGTCTCTCCAGTATGCCAACAAGGGCACCAAGATAACTGTTCAGCAAGTTTTAAAGCTGCAAGCGTGTTAAAGATCGTGCTAACAAGGGCTTCTGGAGGATCTGAGCATAGATGACATTTTTTTTTTTTTTTAAAGGCAGTTGTGGGAGTGGTTCTGTGGTGGTTTTAGCTAACACCATTCTTTGCCCACAGCCCCTGGAAGCTGAAGCCTCTGCTTATGTGCCCAGCCACTACCTTGATTCTCCTCTCCCTCTGCCCAAAGACCATCCTACTGCAGGGACAAACGCTCTGCTCTCAGCCCACTGCATTCCATGCCCTGCCTCTGTCCTGTGGCCTTGGGCCAGGCCGGGCTGGTGACGACAAGTGTGGTGCTTGGGGGGGTTCAGACGCCGTGCACCATGTCCACCCTGAACTTGCACAATGTTACAGTGTCAATTATATCTCAAAGGGCAGAATCGCACAGGGTTGCAACTTTTGTAAAAGGTCTGCCAGGGAGCCAGGCTGGGGGTCCCCGATGCCAAGTCTTCCCAATTATCCTCTTGCAGCGGCACGATCACTACCTTCACGTACAGGTAGGCAACTAACAAGTCTTTACTTGAGCACCAACTCGGTCCCCTTTCCAAAAGGCCCCACTGTAGGAGACACGTGCGGTGTTAGCACACAGGAACCTGCCCTTGTCCTCGGAGGACGAATGACCTTGCTGAAGGCAAAACATTTTCCAGGCACAGGCAAGATACAAAAAGACAGTATAAAGGGCCTGGTCTCTGGACTCCAAGTCTTAAACTCCTCTGGGAACTTAGAACTGGCCAGGAAGGAGTGGGGCTGGAGTGTACTTTGAAGGCAAGGCACAGGGGAGTATAGGGAAAAGGAAAGGTGTTTATAGATGAGTGGACAACGTCTTCCAGGGCACAGAATAATGGGGATACATCAAGGATCAGGCGCTAGGTTCCATGTACCCCCAATTCAACAGATGCTTCCAAATCTTTGGCACACTCCCGTCCTAAAGTAAGAGCATTTGCTGTGCCCTTTCCTTCATGGTGGGGCCCCCAGGGATTCTTATGCCCAGCCCCGCCCCACCCTCTGCCCCCACCCACAGCTCAGGGCCGCACCTCTGTGGTCCAGCTCATGGTGGTTCTTCTCGTCCTTCACTGTCAGGTGGGCCTGGCTGCCCAGGGCACCCAACGCCAGCAACCCCGAACTGCTCCCCGTAACAGGGGGGATCCCTGGAGGCTGGAGGCCTGACGGATGGGGCGGCAACTGGACCGGGGGACCATGCGTGGCGTGGGAGAGGTGCTGCGCCTGTAGCTGCTGCTGCTGTAATGAAGGTGGTGGTGAGCACAGCTGAGCACGAGGAGTTGGGGAGAACCCAGCTATCCATTCCCCTCACTCCACCAAGAGGCAGCAGGGGGAAACACCCCCAAAACCCTGGCCCCCAGCTCAGGCCACATGCTGTCTTGCTGAAGGAAGTCTGTTTATGAACTGCAGTTTAGATACAAGATTTATGTCTTCACGTTCCCCACCCCTCCCCTGCCCATTTCAGGACAGAATTTCTCAATATGTATTTCCAAGCCCAAGGTAAATAAAGCATGCATCTAAACCCCACGCAGTCACCCAGGTTCCCTCTGAGCCGAGGGGCTCTGCTTGTAAGCTCCTAGCAGGCACGTGTTTGCTCATGCTTACATGCCTTCACACCTTCGCAGCCAGCGTCTCCCACCCTGAGCCGACACCCTGTGAAGACTCCCTATCTCTGAGGACTCCATGCCTGCCTTACAGAACCAGGGCGGACTGCAGCAGAAAAGCACCGAGAGCAGGAGGAGCTTGCAGCCAGTGGGAGGACGTCAGAATGGAAAACAGGGTAACAGGAGGAGTAGAGGCTGTGGAAGCAGCCAGCACAGGGTTCAAATCCCAGCTCTGGCACTTCCTAGCTGCATGACCTTAGGCAAGTTGCTTCAACTCTGTGGGCCTCAAGTGTCCTCACTCAGAAAGGGGCAAGAGGGCCCACCTCAGAGGAGTACTCTAAGATAATGTAAGATAATGCAGCAGCCCTGATCACAGGTAGCATTTACTGAGGACTTACAGGTCCCCATGGCTTGAAAAACCTGGCGTGCATTAACTCAGCATTATCATCAACAGTGAGCCTCGGGGTCTTCTCTCTCCCCTCTCGTTCCCCCGCCCTGGCCCTCCCAGATGCTCTTTATCATTCCTAAGGCTGTGCCAAGCTACAGTCTAGCTTGTGGCAGGCTACATCATGGCCACCTTCTCAGGGGTGGTAATACTGGCCGGAGTGGCTGGGACCTTGGGTGTGCTGGGATCTACTAATGAGTGAATCTTTCTTTTCAGCCACCCCAAGAGGACATGGCTGCACACCCAAGTACATTTCAAACACTAATCCTAATCTTCCTAACCACCTGGCGAGGGAGAGGTTGTGCCCATTTTACGGACACTCTGGGAACTGGTGGTCACAGCCAGTAATGGGCCATGGCTCACCACCAGTGAGTGGGAGCTGCACTCAAAATCACTCAGCCAGGATCTTTTGTCTCAGAAGGCACCTAAAGGGACCCCAAAGGAAAAAGAGTTGGTGGCAGTGACAAAGTTCGGACTGGCTCGCCTGTCAGTGAATGGCTTTCTGACAAGAAAGACAAGAGGACAGTGAGGCCCACAGTTCTGGTGGAAGGGGAGGTCGTGTTTGACAACAAGGGTTAAGAGCCCTTTTCTCCCAACTAGTTACCAACCTGGCCCACCCCAAAGTTAAAGGCAGCCAGTGCCAAAGCAGCCCTCCTGAGCGGGGAGGCTGGGCCCCAGGTCTGCGGCTGGGCAGTCCATGGCCCTGGCCCCAGAGTGGCCTGATCCCAGAGGAGAAACAAAGCTACCACCCCGGGAGCACAAACAGAACCCCTGACTCACCCAGGAGCTCATGGTCTTCTAAGACGGGGACTTACACTGAGCACCCCCTTTTTCATATCAAAGAAAATGTAATTTTTATATCTTATTACAAAAAAGATACATGTTCATCATCAGGACACTTGTTAATTTATAAAGTTATAGTAATTACCCCTCCCTACAAAAGTCTAATTTATTCTAGATTTTCCTTTATGGAAATCTAGAAGGATTTGAAAAAAATTTTCAATTTATACATTTACTTTATGCTCTCTCTGCACTTGGATTTTAATCTAAGAGGGTTCTGAAGAACAGGTCAACATGTCCTTTTTAGTGGCTACCCAGCATTCTCTGCTGTGGTTGGAGGAAAATGTGTCCCTGCAGTCCCCGTGGTCTTAGGCCAGTCGCAAATAAGCACTTTAATTCTGCCAGTGTTAACTATTCAGAAAATTCCAGAAAGCAAGGACTAATGTGTTTAATCTCTTCTTAAGAGTGCATGCTAGTAAGACTAGAGGAGAAAACGGAGAGGAGGATGGCTTCCAAGAAGGTGCAAGACAACCTCCTTCCTTGACAGTCATTTTTACAGAAAGAGCTTACTGAAGATTTGCGCCCAGGGAAAGACCTGAATAAACAGCCTAATTCTCACTTCACCGGGTGAGAGAGCTGCTCTCTTATCCCACCTCCTGGGTTCAACCTCGTCCAGGTCAAAGGTTCCCTCTTCGACTCTTGTGAATTCTAACAGCTCAGGCTCTGGCGCCAGACAGACAATGGTGGACGTGTAGCCTTGTCCTTATCAGTTCTGAGTCCTCAGATGAGTCACCAGGCCTCTCAGCCTTGGTTTCCTCACAGGTACGTGAGGATCAGATGTAGTCTGTCTCTGTGTACCCGGGGCTGCAAACGGTACTACAGGTAAAGGCCATGTAGGAGCCAAATGACAAGTGATGGACCACAAAGGTGGCCACATCTTTTTTGGGATGATGCTCGGCAACTGGAGAGTTCCAGGAAGGGGGTGTGCGTCTTATCTGCCCAGCACCCCTAGTGGTATGCTGCCCATTTGCTCAGCATTCATCTTCTGGGGAATAAGTCGAAAATGTTGGCGAGGATACACAGAGATACCTGGCGGTCAGTCAGCAGGTGCCTCTGGGCAAAAGCCACCATCCACCTCCCACCCCTAGCCCCTTTCTGGGGCCTGCCAAGATACAGTTAGAGAAGTCAGTTGAGATGAGGCATCAGTAGGGTATCTGTGTTCCCAATATATGGACAGTGAGTCAACATCAGAAACTGGGAAAAGGCTGCATCAAAAAAGCTGTTTGGAAAAGAGTGATTTCAAAGCTGCTGAGCTCCCAAGACCAAGATGGTGGTCTAGTCTTCTGCCGAATATCCTTGTAGGAAGAAACGAAACCTGTCTACACTTCAAGTGCCAGAGACTGCCCTAGGTCTCCTTCGGTGGCTTGGAGGCATAATCAAGAAATGGCCAGTAGCTCTGGGAGGCAGGGGCAGAGCGCCAAGCCCCAAGCCATCTCTCTCGGGGCAAGGGCAGATGCCAGGGCTCGTCTGGCAGAGGGTCGGCCGACAGCACTCTTGGTTCTTGGTTGCAGTAAGAGGTGAAAGCAAATTTTCTCCCTGGGAGGCAGATGGCGTCGCCTCACCATCTTCTCACCTTTACGCGTCTCACCTCTGCCACATGCCCTGACCCCAAGGAACAGTGTGCTGAACAGTAACACTGAATGGGGACGCTCCCCACTCCCCCGAAATGTGGGGCTGGAATCAGGTTCCCGGTCTGAAGGGCCCCTGAGCTCAACTGTAGCTGCCTCTGTCCAATTTCTATTGCATCTTCCAACGCCAAGACTTCTCCAGCCATGATACCAAAACCAGGCAACAGTTCCCCTTCCGTCTCATCTCCTAAGAGAGGCAGGGAGGCTGGAACCAAGCCCTTCCAGGGGTGCTCAACTGCTCCTCTAGCATTTCATGCCAAAACACTAGCAGGTCAAAGAATGTGTCCGTGAAGCATCTGTGTGCCCCACGCCCGCCCCCACAGGTATGCCCCGTTCCTGTGCGTCGGCCACTCACGGGAGAGGCTTCGGGGAAGAGCTTGCTTGCAGAGTATGTGTAATTGGATTATATACAGCACGCTTTATGCCTCTGCTAGCTGATTTAATGCTTCACTTCTCAGGTTCATGACCTGGGTGAGACTCAGTGAAGTCGTCTAGGCATTTCCAGAGCCAAGACACATGGAACTGCCCACGGGAGAACGCCAGAGAGCCCACACTGCAGCAAAGGAGAACTGACTGCTCTCCACGGAGGGGGCAACCCAGGCCTCTGCTTGTTATTTTACTTCACGTAACCCAGGGTCCCCCCAGCTCCATGCTGACTTGAGCTTCACGCTCTATCACAGCTCTATCTAGAACAAGAACCCTGTTCTTCCTATTTTAGAGATGGGACAGTCTTGGAAATGACTAAGCCAAAACAACCAGAGTCAGGATTCAAGCACGCTTGCTGGCTGAAAGAAACAGGCCGTCTCCATAAAGCACACCTGACTCCTCCCTTCCCCCTTACAATTCAACCATTGATTCCAGCTCCTCTCGCTGCCCTGAATCCAAGAACCTTAAGTATGACTTCACCATACCCTTTGTAACAAGCTGTGACCTCCCTCTTCCTCCTCACCCTCCTACCCATTTAAACAAAAAAAAAAGTTCAAGTCAACCTTGCAACATTTCCTCCACTAATAATTGCCAAGGGGATAAAGACCAAATTGTTGGTGAGCCACTCCACCTGCCAGGCCAATGACTTGGGGCAAGAAGAGAGCACTGAGGAAAGACGGTTCTAGAAGAGGATGACAGATCAGTTCTCAGGGTCTTTAACCTACCTGAGACCACCTCCTACAAGCTCACTGGCCAACCTCAAACTGTCCCTCCTTGTGCTCTGGAATCTTCCCCTTCAAAGGATGCCCCAATTATTTGCATCCAAGGGAAAAACACATGTACTGTAACAGGTTTGAGCATTGGCAGGCAGGAGACAGATTCTTCCTAGAGTTCCCTGTGGCCCAGCAGGGGAGGATGTGGGCTGGGCTGGGCTGGGCCGGGCCAGAAAGTTAGGGCTTCCTCCAGCTGCTCCACCATCCCTCTCCTCCCACACCAACTTGACTTTGGATCCAGGTCTTTCTGATCAGGAAGGGGGGGTCCTAGAAATATTCTAATCCCCATGATAAATATACCCCTAGCTATAGTCCTGCCCACACCAGACAAAACTAACTCGTCTCGTTAAGCTGAGCCAAGACATAATCCGAATCCTTCTACTCCATGACCAGAGAACCAAACAACCGAGGGAAGCAGGTACATCATATAAACCTGCCAGATCTTTCCCCTTCAGTCTGGAGGGATGAAGCGACTGCCCAAAGACCGCCTAACTCACAGGCCAAGGGGTGGGCTACTTCTCACCGCAACAGGACAAATCCAGTAGTGCCCTGGGGGTGACCACTAGCGGCTGAGGCCCCTCGGCCTGTCCCTTCACTTCCCATTCCTGTGGGGCCGAGGCTGCTGTCCTCTGCATCAGTCTGGGCCTCGGCTGCCAGCCTTCCCCACCTGCTGTCCCAGCAGCAGTTCAGTGAGACCGCTCCCCGGGCTCCTCCCTGACTGGCTGAGCGGTAGGCTCCTCCTCCCCTGGAGTGCAGTCAAGCCTGGCTCCCTGTGTCCCTAACTCCTGCCTTGTGAGGCTCTGTCAGGCACAGCGATTAGATGGCTGCCTGCTTAATGACAGGGCGACGGCTGTGTTCACTCAGAGCCGGAGAAGCAATTACCTTGAAAATGGGGGTCACAGGCCCCACTCGTTGGCTTTAATTGAATTCCAATATCTGCCTCCAGCTGCCTTGACCTAACTTGTAGCTTCCTAAATACTACTTAAAGGAAGTGGAGCTAATCCAAGCAACACTTCTTCCCCAATTTCACTCTTTTCTTAGAACTTTAGAAAAAAAATTATTTTCCTAAGAGGATTTTAATCCCAAAGAGGGAGACATTAGAGGGAGGGACCTGCTGGGACACTGCAGAGAGGGGAGGCTTGGCCAGGAGACTTCGAAGAGTCATCTGGAAGGGGGTGGGGACAAGTTAGGGGGAAGGGGGTAATAGAGAGGACAGAGCGCACAAGTCCCCACCCCTGCGTCCCCTTCTGCCACTAACAGCAGAGCCAGGAGCCGGTCATGGGGAAAGAGGACACAGACTCCACATCAGGCCTGGAGTCAGCCTTGCGCTTCTGGCCTCTCAGGCTTTGCCCTTCCACAGCTGGTAACCATCCAAAAAAAACACTTCACAAGGGCATGGCTAGGCAAGCAGTTCTCCCCTAGGGACTACCGTGACCCCTATGGACCTCTGGCATTGTCTGGAGACATTCTGGGCTATCACCACTGTGGGAAGATGCCGGCAGGCGGTGGGGCGAGGCTAGAGCAGAACTTTCGGTAATACACAGGTCAGCCCCACCACAAAGAAGGGACTGGGCCTCTACTTCACTTGTATGGAGGGTGAAGAACCTGGAGCAGATGATATCTCAAGGCAACTTCACTCCCTACACCAGATCTCTTCTGAGAGACTACCTTGCAGTTCAGTGGCCAAAAACACTGACTACTTGCTCATATGCCCATTTAAGGGCAGGTGGCAGGCAGGAGATGGGGGGGGTCTGCTTCTCCCCCAGTGACTCTGCCTCTTCCAGGCCCTTCCTCAGCAGGATCACTGAGTTGTCATGGGGCTGAGCTGGGACAGAACCATGTGACTTCACGTGACCCAACATTGTGACTGAGGTTTGGGACCTACCAACTTTACTGTCTACCCCGACTCCAGGCATCCCTGGCCTAATCTGGGGAGGCCCAGAAACATGAGCTGTCGAACATTCTCCTTTTACAGATGTAGAAACTGAGGCTTGAGGAAGAGACAAAAAACAGGCCTGCTCAAGGTCACACAGGAAGAGGAGACAAAAACGGTCTCTGGGATGCTGGCCTGGAATGGAAGGGCAAGTCACCATCTAGCCCACTGACAAGAACATTCTGGGGCCTTTAGTTCCACTTTGAAATCATGCAATCACATAAGAAAAAGAAGAACGAAGACTAAGCATGACCCCAGAATGTGAGGGCTGAAGAAACCACAGCCAGGCAGTCTGCTGTTTCTCAAGCCTGGCTGCCTTTCTGCAGGATCTGGAAGAGTCAGAAATGCAGGTTCCCAGCCCACACCCTGTGCAAAAGAGCTCGGGGGGCAAGCGTCCTGGCATCTACTGTTTAAAAGTCCCCTTGGGGGCCCTGAGCCAGTCGTATGCAGGTGGGGCGAGGGGGTAGTGAGCATACCTATCCCTGCACCCAAGGGACAAAGGTGGACAGGTACACATTGAGGTAAGACCTTGTCCAAAGTCACAGCGCAAATACTTTTTTGCTCAGATGCTTATCTCCAATACCCTGAGCCTCACAGCAAAGCAGCAAGCAGGAGAAAGACACTCTGTGAACCCCCAAAATGCACCGAAGATGCATCCACTAAGCACCCAGGGATATTTTCTCCCGGGTGTTCCCAGGTGAAACAGGATGTTTAGAAGGTCAGGAACCCCTGTCTGGGTGCCCTGATGAGAAGTCACAAGGGCAAACGAGGGATGCTTGGTCAGGCAGCTCAGAGCAGGCGACAGCAAGGCCCAACCCCAATTCCACAGCATGTTCCACATCAACAGTACAGCAGAAGATAGTTCTGATCCCAGGTGGCCAAAGAAGGGCAGCCTTTGCCAGGAAGGAGGCACGGGGCAGACAGGCCCCTGGGGACTGGTGAAGAGACAGCTCGGTTCCATTGGTAGCCAACCTGGCTTTGAAGGGGAGTGTGGAGCCCACCTCCTGCAAGGGTGGGAGCACTGGGCTGATAAGTACAGAGGTGGCTAGGAGGTACCTGGCACCCCTTTAACTCAGGGGCAGGGAGACAATGGGGGAGCCCATGGAGCAAGAACCCCAAATGGGTCCAAGTCCATGATTCACATGGGATGGCCGGAGCCCCGGGGCTGCCATTCTTTGAGGCCAGCTAAGGTCAGGGTCCATCTCTGTTATGATAAATGAGAGGAATAAAAGGGCTATACACACGGTGAGAGGCAGATTGGGGAGTCCACGTACCCCGATGATGGCGTTCAGCTCCGTCATGGTGACCTGCTTGGCACGTTCTACGGCCTGTGCCACCTGCTGCTGGTGCTGGGGAGAACAGGATGTGGGTTAGACGTGCACCTCCCCTGACAAAGAAATGCAGCAAGGGTGCTGGGGATATAGGTCAGGGCAGAAGGCAGACCCCAGACAGCACCATGGGGATGGTGAGCAGGTATTAAGGAAGTAATCAAAACTTCCTTAAATTTGTTTTAAGTTATGAGCCAAAAGGTGGCTATTAGTCAACCGCCTCCCTCACCACTTACTCCCGTGCATTTGAGCATGAGCTGGCCATGAGATTATTACTCAATGATCCCTAATGTTCTAAATGCGGCAACAGTGTCGTAATCATGTGTGTTGGGGGGGCGGGGGGGGGATCAACTTTGGGAAGATGCAGCTAGAAGTGGTGGCATTAGGACTTATTCAAAGGGTTCGGAAGGAAAGGATGTGTATCTATATATATTCGATTTGCATCTATCTAAATAGAAAGCAAAGAAAAAATAACGTGCCTAGACAGATAAAGTGGCAAAATGAATCCTAACAGAAACTCTGGGCCTCAGGTGACAGATGTGTCCATGGAGGGTCACTGGTCATGAAATAAATACTGCTCTGGTGGGAGATGACGGGAGTGGAGAAGACTCTGGAAAAAAACCGTACCTTCTGCTCAGTTTTGCTGTAAACCTGACACTGCTCTACAAATATGAAAGTCTGCTTTAGAGCCTATCGTTTGGTGTATTCATTCCCTTCTGCCTGGAATTAGTACCTGCTTTGCAGGCAACTGTCTCTCCTGCTGAGCTGCAAGGACACTGCAGTGTCCTCTGTTGGTCATTACCCTTACTCAGACACAAGACTCCAGGATTGAGCTGAGGTGACCCCAGCCCTGGAGAGGGCACAGTTACCCCAGCTAGCGTGGGCCCTACTGAATAGTCAAGCCCGTAGGTCGGCCACCTGTCAGCCCTCCACAGGTACCCTCTCCTCCGGCCTGGCGCCCAGCCCGGCCCCTGCTCAAGTGGGACTCTCCTGGCAAACGTGCTTAGAAGGGAGTGTGACCAGTGCTACTGCCAATGGTAAGGACACACTGTGCCTGGGGGCTGGGGTGACCCCCTTGGGCACCCATTCCCCTCTCAGGGACTGGCCTTTGGTAATGGCCAAACTTCCTTGTTTTTAGGTGTTTCCAGGTATGGAAGTTTGGGCCCAGGGAAGGAGAGGTTGGGGATGCCAGTCTGGATGTGCATGGGGGCACCACACAGTGCTTACTGCCAGGCCAGGACCCTCCCGTCTGGCCTTGGGCAGAAAACTGTTTCTAAGTGGCAGAGGGACCAACAAATGGTCCCTCTGGTGTGGCCACTGCCCCCAAGTCGGCTGGAGAAACGTCTAAAAATCTCCAGGTTGTCAACTGTAGTAGGTATGAATAGGCAGAGGCTAGGGCTCTCCAGTAAGTTGCTCAGCCACAGACTAACTTAGAAAGAGAGAGAGACGAGGCCTCCCTAGTGGCGCAGGGGTTAAGGCCTCAGCACTATTCAAGCTAACACTAGCCACCACAGCGTAACTTCAATCACCAGCCAGGGAGCTGACCCATATGACACTCTCCTGTCTCACCAGCCACCCCCCTCAGCAGTGTGTTTTAGTCACTCTGCCTGCCCTGCCCCCTACTCTGTCTCTGGTGAATACTCTCACAACCCTCCCCCCGCGCCCCCATCTCTGGCCTGCATAAATAAATTATCATAAAATCTTTTTTTTTTTTTAAAGATTTACTTATTTGTGCATACGGAACTGGGGTGCAGGCCAGAGGCTCAGGGGCGGTGAGAAGCTCACCAGAGACAGAGTGGAGAACAGAACAGACAGATCGACAAAGTACACTGCTGAGGGGAGCAGCGGGCGGGCCAGGAGAGGTCTGCCGCGCCATGTGGTCACCTCCGGGGCAGGCGGAAATCGAACTCATGCAGAAGCGGCTTTAGATTCTCAGCGCTGTGCCTTAACCCGCTGCGCCACCAGGGAGGGCCATATCATAAAATCTTTTTAAAAGAAAAAGAAGAGACAGCAAAAGAAGGACTTACCTCTTGTGACAGGAAAGGCATTATCTGTGCTAAAATCGTGTTCAGTCTCTTTGCAATCTCTGTCTGCAAAGGAAACAGACAGCATAAAACTCAGGTGAACTCATAAGCCACTGAGATGACGGGCAGTGGAAGTCCACATGCCCCCAGCCACAGACACCCCTTAATGGTCTCCATCCTAGGAGGCCTCCGCAATCCACAGCACCAAGAAATCCCCTGTAACCCAGCCAGGCAGCCTACACTTGGGGCCCGTTCCAGCTTCCTACAGGAGGTGGCTTATGTTTGGTTCAGAATATGACAAAACACAAACAGCCCCCTGCCTTGCACCCAGTGAAACCTGTTACAGGAGTGAAGGCAGTGTGACGAGGGAGGAACAGCAGCAAGATGCACTCCCAGCCGCGTGAGGGGTGGCTGGAAGCCCCGTGCTGCATAAGCCAAAAGGTTCCCGTGATCATCCTCTCACACAGAGCTGTGTGGTGGCATTGAGGGTTCTCCCTCACCCCCTCTTCACTGCCATCTCCCCAGACCAACCCTTACAAGCCCCCTACCATGTATGTGCCATCAGTCTCAAATCTCACCACTGGCGGGGAGGGTGGGGGCGTGGGGATAGTGTAAAGCATTTTCCTCTCTAAGAAGCTGCTTAGGAGAGCCCTAACCCTTCATATAAATTGATCACAGACAGATAGAGTCCCAGGGCACGGCCTAACGCTCCAGCCAAGATCACATTCGAAAACGTCAACTGTTTCTGCCACCTGTCCAAGGTGAACCTGAGATCAAGAGTGGTTAGAGAAGAGAAAGGAGGGGCGCTAAATGGTTAACGAGTCCACTGACAGGAAAGCCCAGAGCTGCGCAGAGAGGAGGCTCAGAATTGCTTTTCTTATCAGCTCATGCTGGATCCTGAGGCCGCCAGGACTGAGGTCCCAGGGCTGCCTTCAAAGCTTGCTTCAGCACATAGTAATCTTTCAGAGACAAAAACCATGACAACAGCCTTCAGAATCTCTGATCATCTGCATGTCAAATGATTTTGGATGAAAAATCCCTTGTGCTCTTGGAATAAAAACAATGCTGTCGGAAGCCTTTCTGGACCTCAGGAAAATTTCCAGGGGCTAGCAGCACCCCCACCTTCCTCCAACCCCAGCATAGTGAAGATGCCTGTGGTGGAAGGAGGAACCTGCATTGGCAGGCCTATGCCCCCTGGCTGGGAATGGCCCAGTTGTGGCAGGGCTCCCGGGTGGAGATCAGGGTCCAGTTCTCTGCCTGGCGCTACCCGTTATCCTCAAGAACAAGGTTCTTGTTTCCCAGCAGGCACTCCTGTTGGCATTTGGGTGGAGCAGTTCTTTTCTTGAAAGGACCATACAGCATTTCCCAGACCAAGTGACTGTAATGGTCAGTCCTCACTCTCAAAAGTGGGATAAGGAGAGGTCACCAGCAGCCGAGGCTGACGGGGCTCTACATCTGAGGCATACTCTAGCAAGGACCTGGCACATCTGGGTTGCTCAGCCTCACTGCTATGGAATCTGGGGCCAGATAACTCTGTTAGATGTGGGAGGTTGTTCTGTTTATTGTTAGGGTTTTTAGCAGCATCCCTGGCCTCTACCCATGTGATGTCCATCATTCCTATTACAAGGACCCTGGGAAGATTACCAAATAATTATTGGATAAATTATTAATCCAGCTAAATGAGCAGAATTCTGCTCCCAAACACTGTACTTCTCATTGTTGTTCGTTTTTTCCTCCCTTAAATCAATTGCTAGTGAGCAAGGGGAGTGAAGTCCAGGAGAGTCAGGGTTGGCTGGGTGGCCAGAAACAGTAGGCAGGTCTGCAGCTCAACCCAAAGCTGCACAGAGCAACACGCTCACTCAACTGTGCCAAGAAAAAAAAAAAAAAAGAAAGGTACACTAAACAACAACAACAACAAAAACAGGACTATTGATAAACTAACCAAGCCAGCCACACTGCATGGAACTGTGCTGGTCCAAAGCCTTTGCCTTAAATGACAGGGTTTAGCACATAACAAGTGCTCAATAAATGTTTGGCCAAAAGAATCTCACCGGCCTCTCTGCGTGTATTTTTCAAGAATGCACATTGCAAGGCGTCCTGCAGCTGTGATCTGGGCCTCCCCCAGTGTGGGCAGTACCTATGTGGGGTTGGGGGAGCCTGGGGGCTGGAATGTTGACATGTAACTGAGAGGTCGGAAGGCGGTGGCCTGTGCCTCTCACCAACAGGTAGGGAGCCTGAGCAGGCCAGACCCACTGCTGCTGGAGCCAACCAGGGAGGCAGGCGGTAGGTTTTGCATCCTCCTGCTGGTCACTTGAATCTACTTGGCTGCAAATGCAACTTGGTCTCCTGGGGTGGGGGGTACAGAATGACTCCCAGCTGTTGCCTATTTTCTCTAGCAAGTAGGTCAACTGTCTGGGCCTCAGCAGTAAAAGGAAAAAAAGTGAAGTGACCTCCTTCCTCATACCCTCGAGCAAACACGTGACCCTAAGTGGGCTCTTTCCCCAAGAGGAAAAGGGACCTGCATGATTTCATGCTGCCAGGCTCAGGTCCAGGCTTGGTGTCCACTGAGTGGCTCAGAAACCCTGGGCATGGCTCAGAACAAATCCCCTCTTGCCCACCAAAAAAGAGTTCTAGCCTCTTTTACCAACTCAATACCACAAACATCAAGCAAGGGCAATCATGAACAACTCCACAGTTATGCAGCCTTCAGGAGGTCAGGCAGGAAGGACACTGCTTTGTCATGAGCTTGGGTTGTATAGGGCTGGGGGATGGGCAAGAGGGAGAGGAAGGTTTTACACTTGGACAGCCTTTGTCCAGAGCGTCTCTGTCCTGGGGACTGTGCTCTTTTCTGGAAAACATGGACAGTGGCGAGAGCAAGCAAAGCCCACCTGCCTCAGCTGCAGCGGCCACTGCCTGCCGAGGCACATGCCCTTCTGGCTTCTCCAGCCCTGAGACAGAGCTCAGTGCATAAGTGAGTCCAAGAATAAATAGGGCTCTGTTCAGCAAACAGGTTTTTTTTTTAATATTTATTTGTTTTTTTTTTTTTTTTTTGAAGGTGGCGACAGTGGCGGAGGAAGCTGGCTGGACAGAACAATCTCTTAACAGCAACAGAGATAATGAAGGCTAGCCAGCTTCGGCCCACCCAGCTGTTGTAAGCATTTTGCATGTGTGAGCTCACCAGTTGCCCTCTGGGGTAAAATCTCCATTTTTCAGATGGGGAAACTGATGCCCAACCATTAAGGCACTTCACTAATGACCTACCAAGAAGCCAAATCTTTTGAGGGCTTAGCAAAGTATTTTTAAAGGAAAAACTACCATATCAGGGTTAATAATTGACAGCATTTCCGATTAGAACAGCTGTTAAAACAGCATTTGATCCAACTCAAACAAGCTCTAAACACCAGTTCCAAGAAAGGAAGAGGAAAAAACCAAGATGTGTGACTTCAACAATTGGGACAGGTCACAAATCAGAACTGGAACCAGATCACACATCAGAAAACTCCTTTTGGCAATGCGGGGCAATCTGTTATCAATATGGCAGCTGGGGCTGGCGCGCCCACCTCCATCCTTGCCGCCATCTTGGTCCTGAAGCCACTGCCTTGGAGCAGAAGCCTAAGACTGAGAGGAGGGAGTGCCAAGAAGGAGGAAGGCTGGAGTCCTTTAGAAAGAGGTGTCTGGGGAGGCCGGTGGGGGCCTTTGAAAGTCTCTTTTAAGTGTAGCTCAAAGAAGGCAGCTTTGCTGCTAGGAAAACATTGATCCTCAGAAGGAACTAATCTACTAGACGCAGAAAGAGAAGCGGTTCAGGAAGACGTGCAGCGATCCTGCGAAAATCGGAATCTGCACTCCCCACTGGGCGCTGGGAGTAACATCTGCCCCAAGTCTCCGTCGAGATTGTTACGCAAATAAATCACAGAAAACAAGATAGTGGGGGGCAAGTGTAATTTCCCAAAGAGCAATCTGCTCAATGGGCCTCAGTAGCTCCCATTTGCACGATCATCTTCTCATTAAAGCAAGACCTCTAAACATCTTGCTGTAAATTGGGGGTACTTGAGCACTGCAAAAGTGTATTTCCCTAACATCTATCATTCACACTGGCTGCTGTTCGTCACCCTTGCGCAGGAGACTGAGTTAAGAAGGAACATGAAATCAGCCTAGAACCCTGTTCCCCAGTAACCTCCACCTCCTGGTCCCTCAGCACACCGGATTTATTTATTTATGCAGAGAACTGGGGTACAGGCCAGAGGTGCAGGGGTAATGAGAGGATTCACCAGAGACAGAGTAGGGAGTAGAGCAGGCAGACTGATGAAATACACTGCTGAGGGAAGCAGCAGGCGGGTCAGGGGAAGTCTGCCGCGCCATGGGGGTCACCTCAGGGCGGGGATCGAACTCACACTGAAGGGGCTGCAGCCAGCTTGCAGGGCTGCATCCTAACCCTTTGCACCACACCAGCAAGGGTCTGGCCTGTATTTTTAAGAAGACATTTAGCTGACTGCTCAAGAAACAGCCGACCATGATTTACACCACCCATTGGTACCTCTCAGCTGTTTAGTTATTTTAAATGGCCCAGTCATCTGTCCCTGTCAGCTCCTGCTTGCACACTCCACTGCTAACCTCGAGCCAAGAGCAACATGGAGAGGGAAAAACCTGCCATGTTAAAACAGGTCGTGACCCAAAGTCACATGGAAGTGACCTGGCTTCTGCAACAATCTCTGCCTCCACAGAGCTGTGTGACTTTGGGCACGTCACCCCTCTCCTCTGGGCCTCAAACTTTGTTGTCTGTTGTTCGAGGGACGAACTAGATAACTCACACGATCAGGAACCGTCACTTAGCATTTCTGAATGCTGAACGGCTCTGTGACACAGCATTTCCTCCTAAAGCTCATGAGTTAAAGGCCGAGCGGAGAAAAGACAAGCCACCTTGTAGGTGGATTCCTGGCTTCTCAGGGCCAGCTGGGGTGAGGCCCTAAGGACCAGTCTTGGTAGTGTGAACTTTATTCAATGTCTCTATCAGCAACACTGCTGATCATCTGAGCAATAATGTCCGCTCCTGAGAGTCAAGCAGCTAT